CGCCCGGCTTTATGCAAATGAAGCCCGGGAAATTCAAATCCCAGGCTTCATTTGCAACTTCGGTTGCCTACATTACCACCCTAGTTCGAACTAGGGTGGTAGTGTAGACATACCCCCAGGGACAGCTCCGTGAGGCACAGGAGTGTTTGCCACTCACACACACCACCTCTCCCAACACCCGGCCCCCTTCTCCTCAAATAGGCAGGGATACAAGTTCCTCTCACTGCGGGACACCCCCACCACCAGACACAGTGTGTGTGTGGCATGGAAGGAAGCCTCACTGCCCTGTGGCCCCCTCTCCCCCTGCAGGATCTCATCCACTGCATAGTTGCTTATTTCGAAATAGGGGGCCTCCAGCCCTTCCCAAGGTGCCCTGATGGCCGTGCTGGCCACAAGGTAACTTCTGACCTGATGCCCTTCCAGAACCAGTTCTAGCTGGCCTTAAACAACTCGGTCTCAGCTCAGAGATACGGGTTAGGCTTCAGGCACAGCATCCCCTGGGATGACTGACAGTCTATCTTTATTCTCCACAGCTGGACCAGCTGGTAGGGGTGTGGTTGACACCACCTGGGGACCCGCAGGCACCAGAGACCCATGGACAAGTTTATTGTTTCCCAAAAGAAAAAAGTCTGTTTTATTGCCTCTGCGTGGGAGGGTGTGGGAGGAAAGGCAGAGAGGGGGATGCACAGGCCCCTAGTGGGGAGAACTAGATGTGGGAATGCCAATGTCTACGGCTGCACGGCTGAGGGCCTGGCCACCAAGGTGGAAATCTGTACCCAGGAGCAGGTGAGGATGAAAGTGAAAGAGCATCTGTGTCTGCCAGGGCAGCTCCCAATCTGGGGAAGAACCACACCCCTGCCTCTATTATATGGACCTGGACCGCACCCTGGGGGGCAGGTCAGTCCCTTCCCCACTGCCGGTAGTGGACTCATGGCTTGACATGCCCATTGTGGTCCTGCCAGGGGATAGAGCCAGTGAGGAGGAGGAGGCAGAGGAAGAGGAAGAGGAGGCAGACGAGGTGAGCACTATCACCTTCCTGACCTGGAGCCAGTAACTCATACTGTGAACATGTCCCAGGCATTGTCCGAGGCCAGGGATCACTGCCCTGTGGCCCCCTCTCCCCCTGCAGGATCTCGGTCTGGTTTGCACCTTCCCATGCTTGCTTGTCCCCGGGACATGGGAATGGTTAGGCTCTCCCCATCCCGGGGACATCTGGGACCTTTCAGGCAAAGGCCCACTGGCTAGAGCATACATGGCCTTGTTCCAAGCACATCGCCTTCATCTGAGCCGACAACTCGGTCTCAGCTCAGAGATACGGGTTAGGCTTCAGGCACAGCATCCCCTGGGATGACTGACAGTCTATCTTTATTCTCCACAGCCAGACCAGCTGGCAGGGGTGTGGGTGACACCA